GAAGAGGTTTTTTTATTTTAAAACATTTTAAAATACGAAGCAAGACCATTTTTTTTTCTTCACTCTTTTTTTAGTCATGTTAGAGGCCTGGATTAATCTATTTCAACACCCTTATTAGGCTGGAGTAAACTAATTTACTCCACAGCATGATAATGCCTGTAAATACAAATACTATTTGCTGTAGAGTAAAAAGCGCTGCAGCAGCACACATGTAGATGTTATCCCAGCTGGCTGAAACACAAGGGTGCTTCAGTGCAGGGGCTTCCTGCCAACTAACCCCACACTGAAGAACCCCCATGTCCCAACCAGCCTTTCCACAGTATGTTGGGCTTGGGGGGAGTAGCCCCTGGCTGGCATTGTAACCCCCCTACCAGATCCCCTGCTAGCTAGGGCTGCTCCAACCCAGCTCAACATGTTCCACTCCTGGGTGCATGTTCAAATGGCAATAAACTCCCAGAGTATATTACTCCCAGGTGCACATTCAAACGGCATGCCTGGGAGCAATAAACTATGGAGTTTATTGCTTCATATTAATTGCACATGTAGATATGCCCACTATCTAGTATGGTTGAGGCACAAAAATTGCATCCTTGATTGGCGGGTTTAGACTTTTGTATCCCGTCATACACATGTGGAAACTCTCAATTACAGAAGTCTGCGACTTCATTACTGACTGTGGCGATTCTTTAAAAGGTTTTAAGTGAGTGGAGGAGAAAAAGTTAGTATGAGCAGGGATGACAGAGATACTCCATGCAGGGATTGTGAGGGTGACTAAGGCGGGCAATTGCTGGTGGAAAAAGGAAGATACTAGAGGAGAAAATGCAAGACTTAGACCATCATCTCCCCCCCTAAAGTGCTTGCCCTTTCTGAAGCAGCTTAGAGACATCTAGCCTCTTATTAACTCTGCAGCAAGTGTCTTGCCTGTTCCTAAAGCACTTTTCTCCTTAGGATCCCAGTAGCAATCCCACTTTGTAGAAGAAAAGCTTGATGGAGAGCTGTTTCATATTCATCATTTCACTTTTTAAAAAGAGGGTGGTCAGAAGCAGGTATTGGATCACAGGCTGCTAATGGAGGCTCAGAGGGGACACTGGATGCTGGAGGATTGAGTTCAAATAATTCAAAAAACCTGAAGGAGGTAAAAGGAGGGATGTCTAGAAAATAGCTTTACTGCATCTATTGGAAGGTAGAGATAGTAAAGATGTTGATCACCCTTCCCCTTCTTGCTTTGCTAACCCTTCCACTAGGACCTGTTTTCCTTGGGGAAGGATGCATTGCATACCTTGGTACAAATTTTCATAAATGCAGTAGGGGAAAATGGAATGTAAAATTGAGAAGCATCACCCAATAGGAGTCAGTGTTGCTTGGATGGGGACTAATAGGATATTACTTCATGACTTGTATGGTTTCATGCCAAGTGGCACTTGAGTTAATGCTGTAGGTGGCACTACACACAGCAGTGGTGCTTACTAGGGTTAGTATTGTGAATTCTTACTATGAAAGCAATTCTGCTAATGGTTCCAGTAGTTGATATTACTGGACTGTCACATGTTGTATACAGTTGACTGTCTCTGCTCTCAAGAGCCTTGGATTAGGAGAGGGATGCTGAAGAGCAGGCAGATGTTAGGTGCATTGACAGAGTATATACAGTGAGTGTGTCTACATGTACAAATAATCTGGGAGCAATTTACTCTAGAGTAATGTACTCTAGAGTAAACTCTCCAGGATACAGTGCAGGGACATGGGACAGATTTCCTGCTCCTAGCAGCAGGCTGCTCCTGCTCCCTGAGGCCCTGCACTGGGACCCTGCAGCAGCCAGGGGGAGCTCTGGCTTCCCTTGGATGCCAATCCAGGGGCTAGCAGGGATCAGAGCCAGGAGACAGCTGTCTCCTGGTTGGGGCTGGGACATTTTTCTCTGCCCCTGGGAGCTGCCTGCTGCCAGGGCTGGCTCCACCACTGGAACTCAAGCGGGCTCGATGTCCCCCTGCCCCAGCAGCAGGGAGCTCCCAGCCCCCACTCTGCGATTGTGGGATCGGGGCTGGGAGATCCTTATCTCCCAGCCAAATCTCTGCCATTGTGGGGCCGGCACTGGGAGAAAAGAATCTTCCAGCGCTGGCCTCACAACCATGGAGCTGGTGCCGGGAGAGAAAAATCTCCCAGCCCAAGCCCGGTGACTGCGGAACTCATACTGCTCCCAGTAAGGATTTTCCAGTGCCGGCCCTACGACTTTGGAGCTAGCACTGGAAGATAAGGATCTCCCAGCCCAGCCCCCATGATGGTGGAGCTAGTGCTGGGAAAGAAGAGTCTCCCAGCCCAAGCCCCACAACTGAGCTATTCCAGCAGCAGGCAGCTCCCAGAGGCAGGGAGCAATCTCCTTCCCCCTGCTGCCCAACTGACCCAGAGTACATTTGCTCCTGGTCCGGCACCAACACATACGCTACTGCGCAGTAAGTAATCGAGAGTGAATTTTCTACTTGCATTTTCAGATAGAAAATTGTCTCGCAATTAGAGCAAATTGCTGCACAGTAACCATCTGCACATGTAGACAGTGATGCTTACCGCACAGGTATTAGCTGTAATCTCAAGTAAAGCATATTGTGTGGATGCACCCAGTGACTCTGCTGTAGCCTTGATTTTGGCCAGTGCTGCTAACCCTCAGGAGCATCCAGTGACCACACAGCATTTTAAAAAATTGAAAGAGAAATTGCTGCTCAACTGAGCAGACTAGAAAGCAAGCAAGTTGGAGGTTAACAGCAGCTGCATGAACCATTCCAGCCCTACTCCGCAATATAGAGAGCAGTAAATCTTGAGACCCTGTCTAAGTTCTTACTGAGGAATTTCCCTGAGCCAATTTGGATTCTAATGAATACTGAATAACTGCAAATAGTATTTGGCTCTAACTAAGTATCAGGCAGAGGAATACATACTTCATTTACATGTATTAAGTTTGGCTGTTACAGCAAATGTACTTAACATCTATTTAATTAATGCTGTTGTCCAGTCCCATCATCTTACTGAACAATGGATTAAATGTTTTGCTTCCTATTATATTGTTATCAATAACTTGGTATTATAATCACAAGGCAATGAAAAAGCTGCCCAGTATGTATGCATTTACCTGTGATTAAAAAGTAATAAGGTACTGTCAGCTTACCTCTAATCATAATTAAAGGGGTTAGTTCCATTTTCTACAATGGTACTTTGGTAATTAAATCTACCCTGAAAAGAATTACTTATTGCCACTAAAATGATTTGCATTTGTTTCTAAAATGCATACTTGCAAAGGCTAAAACCCTTATGCTGAGTGCTTTTGTGTTTATGACAGTTTTGTTGACTGAGAGGGTTAGCATAAGTATTCACATCTACCTTCTGGCATTGTTGCCAGAAGCACAATTTTTTAAACTATCGGGACTACATTGATTTATCTCAATTTAAATGAAGAGATTGACATCAGTTTGCATCACCTGAGTACCTGGCCCATAAATTGCATTTTTGAGGAAAGAAAAAACACCCAGTGACTTAGACAGCAGACTTCACACTTACAATGAAGTCAGTCCTGAATGAGAAGAGGGTAGGCACAAAAGGAGTTTAGTCCATCTCCAGACAAGTGCACAGGAGGATGTGACATGAACTGGCAAAAAGAAAGGGTACTATTATGGGAAAGGGACCTGAGGAGAATAGAGCCTAACCCTCACCCTTCTCTTAACCCTTGCTGGACCATCATCAGAGCAGGGTATGAGAAAATGAAGGGAAGTGGCTGAGTCATCCGTGGCAAGGTACCACAAGGTGGGATCAGTGCCTCTTTATCGTCATCCAGCTTCCAATAGATATTTGAATACAGCAACCTAAACAGAGTCTCAGGACAATGTCAGAATCCATCCAGACTCCAGTTTCAGTTCAGCTTTGGACTGAAAAAATCACTGGTGCAGGAAAGATATGGCTGGAGCTCAGTAAACCTGTGGAGTATTTTAAAAGGTCTGGGAGAGATCTTTTAGGTGGAAGCCTGTTGGCAGTTGGGATTCTGAGTCAGAGAATATATTGGGATTGGGCAGAAGGAGCTAGAGGCTGCAGATCCATCTTAAGTTCAAGAGAGCATGTTTTGATTCAACTGGCTGGCTGGGGGCCAGGTCAACTAAGTAGCATGGGAAGAGAAAAGTGGGGAGATGGATAATGGAAATTTGCAAGTATTTAGAGCAGTACCTGGACTTTGGGAGCTCTTCTGTCTCACCAAACATGTTAAAGTTCAGCCACCACTCCTTCAATCACATGAGGATATCACAGCATACTCTTAATCATCAAGTAAATGTAAGATAGTTTCCCAGGGTGCATTTTGTTATTGCTCTTATCAGACTGAAAGCCTAGAAGACACATTAAGAATAGGGAACATTAATAAGGTCCACACTTTTCAAAACCTTTTACGAGATTTTTATTCTATAATCCATTGCCAAAATAGCACCATCTGACTGAAAGCTAATATGATTCATACCTGGAGAATATATATGTAGAACATTGCCTTTATTATACAGTCTGAGCATTGTCTCAGGGCTTTTGTCTTGCAATTCCTGTTCATCTCGTTTTCTTTGATGCTGCTGTTTATAATGGTACCCTCTTTTACGGCTGTTGGCTGTTCCCCAGCACTGCAGCAGGGAGAGCTGGTTCCACATATCCCACTCCCTGTTTCATCGGTGTCCTGCTTTTGTTCTGGGTGAGTGCAGAAAAGCTTATAATTGTGGCTGACCCTGCCACATTCATGAATTGCTATGAGGGTGTTTTTTCCTTGTTTTCCCTGCTTTTTACCTTTGACATATTGTGGGTTTCATTCTGTACACATGTGTAACAAGTGCTCTGTGGCTGTGATGTGCGAGGGACTGGAGTAGACTGTGTTTTTAGGACTCTTTGTTGCCTGCAAATGCACGGGTCTGGGCTCACTGGCCTGAGATGCCTATTCCAGTCCTACTTTCTGATATTAATTAAGTGCTTTGGGTTACTTTGTTTTTAACCAGGTAATGATGACTCCGACATAGAAATTCAAGAAGATGAGGGATCTGATAGTGAACTGGAAGACAGGCAGCTCATGAAGCATCACACAGCCATGGAGATCCCAATGCAAGGTATCACCACCTCTCCTTTATTGCTCCTATCTGACAGGACACATTGGCAGTGCTCCTCTGGCTGCTCAGAGCAGGTTTAGGGCATTTCAATTTATGGGACACTTTGGGAGGTAAATTCCTCCAAGGGTTCAAAAACTTCCACACAGCTCAGTTTGCTTGAACAGTGTGAGGACACCGTTGTGCTTTTGAGAATGGGGGTCAGTTAAAGGGAACCTTAACAAGGAAGTCTTTATTGGAAAGGTCACTGCAAAGAGAAAAATCTTGCCTTATTTTCGCTTTGCCTAGATTTAGAAATAGAGTTGGATCAAGCCTTTGGCAGGTGTTCCAATGCCATTTCTTGTTCTTCTTTTTCCTTAGCTGTAGATGTAGAATTCCAATTGCTGTGCGCTATACCAGTTTTTGAAGGTGCTGCCTGAAAGCCAGGCCTTTCCCTATGCTCATAAAGCTTCCTGAACTGCCCTAATTATGGGTCAGAGAAGTGTGAATGCTCTCTTATGGGAGGGCCTCTGGCACCCATCATTGCTAATACAAGGTGAAGTGGAGGTTTTAACCTTCAGGTTACCTAACCAAATGCAGTCTTGGTCAGGAGTGACTCATGGTAGTTACTATATGAGGAGTTTGTTTATTGGTTTGTGGGAAATGGATTGATGCAGTTCCTAGTGGGCAGAGGACTGCAGTCAAAAATGAAAAAGACTCCTAAGAGTTGGCACTCGTGTCACCTTCAGCCTAGGAATTACTGTCACCTGCAGCTAAAGCCACACCTGGGGGTGGGTAAAGTGGCAGCATGAAGAAGCTCAGACTGATGCTACTTCTGCTGGAATCTGTTCTTAAGAAAGACGAACAAGTCTGAGTCTGCTCTCACTTTCCTAGAGTGCCTTGCATACATGGAAACTGAACCTGGCTCTGGAGTGCCTGGGCCGACATGCTTCAAACACTTTGCTCTCAAGTCATTTTCCATAATTTTCAGTCTGAGTAAAATGTTAGGAGCCAAAAATACCTTTTGACTCCTGCAGACCATCACAGACACAAATATTAATAAACAATTTGTGCATCATAGTTTCTCAAATGGAATATAAGGATCTCTGTGTCATCACAGGCTTAGGACTGTCACAATAATTAGACCTAAACTGTACATATGATCCTGCTGTTTATTGCTGCCCTGGGAAATAGCTACATACTACACTTACTTCCATCTTTGTCATTTGCCTTAATCAGCTTCTCACAGGGTGAGAGTACTAACACTGGGGTTGAATAGAGCACAAACTGACCTTTCTAATTGTCTGGCCTTAACAGCAGTTTTGGAGGGAAGAAAGCCTGGTTGGAAAAGCAATGGATTGTGGTGCCAGTGATTTTTCTAAGAAAAGCTTTGTTGTTGCAAATTACTGGCTGCAAACCCAGAATTAGCTCAAGTATGTTTTTTTATGCTTCAAGTAGGCAGTTCTTAATCCTCTGGTATATCTCCACTGCCAGATTGCTTCAATAGCTTGTCATAGTGTTATAACTGCTGCTCATAGTGCTTCCGGCTAGGGACAGGCATTACACGTAAACCAGTTTAAGTGATCAGAAACTGGTTTAAATCTGTAACAGAACAGATGCTCAGTGCGTATAAACCAGTTTGAGAATGGCTGAAACCGGTTTGAGATAAACCTGGTTGAGTGTAGTATATCAGACTTAACTGAGTTAGCTCAAACCGATTTATGCAATGTCTGTCCCAGACCCCTTGCTGGCATGCTCTCTGGGCAGGGCGGGGCTCTCTGCCCCACAGTAGGGCTGGCCTCTCCTCTCTGCTCCCTGGCTGGAGCTTCAGAGACTGCACACTGCTTCCCCACCCCCGTCACCACTCCCTGCTAAGCAGGAATTCCCCCCTCCCCTCTGCCTTGCTGAGGAGATGTCTGTGTATTAGCTAGCAGACCACATGCTGGCTATGGTCCTGAATCAACAGGTAGAATCAACAAGTAGCTGGTAATGTTTTCCTAACTGGGTGATTAAATACTGTTATCAATTCCCTGCTGAGCTAATCAGGGCCTGGCCACACCCCCCTCAGCTCCATGCTGTGGAAGGAATGGAGGGCTTCTCTAGCGCCCCCCAGCTTCTAGCCTGAGTCACTGCAGGCATGTGCCTGCATTTCTGGGATGTCTGTCCGGTTACAAGACTGATTTAGTCTAGCCAGATTAAACTAACCTGCAAAAATTGAATCAATTCAGGCTTTTTGAATGTCTGTCCCTAGCCTCAGTGACTTGTAATTCATCCAAACAATACCATATGCTCCTCCTGCACAGAATATTTTTCTGGTGGAATTCCTCTCAGGTTCATAATGCTCTGGCACTTGCTGCATTGGCAGAGGTGGGAAGAAAGTTTGTATAGTGTTGGTTACCTGGTATTAATCTCACTTTCATGAGCATTAGCACTGGAGTTTCCAGCAGAGCCAAAAGGAATTAAGAGCCCAATTCATATTGAAATGTAAGGCAAATTTTTCAGACCATAACCTGGCACCTGGGTTTCATTTCCTATCCAGTTACACCTCTGGTTTTTACTATAATTTTCTTAAATTTCTACCAAAAAAAAAGTTGTTTTG